GGGGGGGGGGGGGTTTTTTTTCCAGGGGAAAGAGCAGGCAGCAGCAAAAATGAAGTGTACAATCCTATGGCTACAGGCTGCTGCCTTTCCCCATATCAGGACCATCCAAAAATAAAATAAAATTACAGGCAAGTCGCCGTCACATGGAAGTAGCAGGTGTCAAGCCAAGCATTGCTAATGTGACTTCCTCCTTCTGTTCCTCCCTCCCCTACTCCTCCTCCCACCCTTCTGCCGTAACCTCTTTCTATACCTCCCTCTATTCCTCCTGCCCTTCCTCCTTTAACCCTTCTTCTCTGCCCAATCCTCCATCACCAATTCCCCCTCCACCTCATCTTCCTTTCATCTGACTAGGGAGAGAATAGTGCCCCTGAATCATACATGGTATAAAAAAATCTAGTGAAAACAGTCCTTCTGCAGTTCCTGACCTGTGTGGCCCCACATAACATATTAATAAACTAATTTTGGCCCTCATTGACCTTTTCCTTTAGTCTTTCTCCAGGGACAAGAGGGGAAGGGCGGGCAGTAGCAAAATTTAAGCATACAACCCTACGGCCATCCTTCCCCTAAATAAAGCTTTGAATGGCCACTTCAGCACCCCCCCCCCCCCCCACACACACACACACACACACACATGCCCAGCACTTGTATGCCAGCTTGAGACTTCAAGTGCTTCTGTATCATCTGTTGAAAACAGTCACCATTCAGTAAGGGTTTACTGACCAGTCAGTGCCTAAGAGTCCTACACAAATCTGTCCCTATGCAGTTTGTCAGCAGCAATCCATACGCTCTCTCCCTATCACAGATAGAACATTGTCAACAGGCTTCTGTGACCTCACCCCTTTATACTGACAAGGCTGGCCTAACCAAATGTTCCCAATGTGTTATGGTTACAAAGAATTTGGACTGGCGAATTCCACAAATTTTCAAACACACAAGATTCACCATGGACCCATTATAGCACCGGACCTGCTAATCGTTAAGCAGAATATCTAACTGGTCTAACCAGAAATTAAAGAATGCTTTTCTCCATGGGGGCTACCATATTTTAAACTCTGTCACCTTCCCGTCTGGTGTGGCAGCAAGTGCCACAGACATTTATTGAAGGTCAAAATTGCAACTGCAGATTCTGTGAATGGTGTGTTGTTTCTGTTGAAACATATGGTGGCAGCTAGTGTTTGTGTGTCTGAAGGGTTAAATGCCCCAATGACAATCACTATCAGTCTGCTGATGCTTAGATTGTTGTCCTGCAGGCTGGGAAAACCACTCTATAGGGTGAGTCTGAGAGTGCAATATAAGAAGAAAAAAAACTTGCCGCACTACTTACCGGGACTCCCCACAAAAAGATGGGTCATCTCTGAGCCTGACGAAGGGGATCCTGTGTGGCCCCGAAAGCGCTTGCCAATGAGAGACAGCATCTGTCAATAAATGAGCATCTAATTGCTGTTATTATCGTTGTTGGAGTGCTGGTGAAGTCTTCTTTTTTTGAGAGTGCAATATGTCACATTCTGATGGCAGCAGTGGGATTTGAGACTACGGCCATCAAGCGGTCAACCACAGGAGGCTGCTTGCAGGCGGATTTTGGAATGTTGGAGTACAAAACAGAAAGTAATAACTGAAAGTTTTAATGTTGAGTTTTTTAGAATTAGGTGATCGGAAAACGAAATCCTCAGATCCCAACAGACACATTGACAAACACCAAGAATAAAGAGAAAACAATCTATTGGTGAGGATAGATTATATAGCCTAGTTGATTATTGGTTCCTCAAGGTATGAGTGATAATACTAAACTATACATCTGCAAATACCATTGGACGTCCTGACAGGGAGTCTGCGAGTACCATTGAAAGTGCTATAAGGAATTTTGTGAGTACTATTGGAAGTCCGGGCAGGGATTCTGCAAGTACGATTGGAAGTCCTGCCAGGGACTCTGTGAGTACCATTGAAAGTACTGGAAGCTATTCTGTAAGTACCATCGAAGTGTGGCAGGGATTCTGAGAGTACCATTGATAGTACTGGAAAGAATTCTGTGAGTACCATTGGCAGTCCTGCCAGGGATTCTGCCAGTACTATTGGAAGTCCTGGCAGGGACTCTGTGAGTACTATTGAAAGTACTGGAAGGTATTCTGTAACTACCATCGAAGTGTGGCAGGGATTCCGAGAGGACCATTGATAGTACTGGAAAGAATTCTGCGAGTACCATTGGCAGTCCTGCCAGGGATTCTGCCAGTACTATTGGAAGTCCTGGCAGGGACTCTGTGAGTACTATTGAAAGTACTGGAAGGTATTCTGTAACTACCATCGAAGTGTGGCAGGGATTCCGAGAGGACCATTGATAGTACTGGAAAGAATTCTGCGAGTACCATTGGCAGTCCTGCCAGGGATTCTGCCAGTACTATTGGAAGTCCTGGCAGGGACTCTGTGAGTACTATTGAAAGTACTGGAAGGTATTCTGTAACTACCATCGAAGTGTGGCAGGGATTCCGAGAGGACCATTGATAGTACTGGAAAGAATTCTGCGAGTACCATTGGCAGTCCTGCCAGGGATTCTGCCAGTACTATTGGAAGTCCTGGCAGGGACTCTGTGAGTACTATTGAAAGTACTGGAAGGTATTCTGTAACTACCATCGAAGTGTGGCAGGGATTCCGAGAGGACCATTGATAGTACTGGAAAGAATTCTGCGAGTACCATTGGCAGTCCTGCCAGGGATTCTGCCAGTACTATTGGAAGTCCTGGCAGGGACTCTGTGAGTACCAGTGGAAATCCTGGCAGGGACTCTGCGAGTACCAGTGAAAGTAGTGGAAGGAATTCTGTAACGTCGGGTATAAACACATATTTTCTATGTTTAACCTGCCAGCTAAACAAAGAAAATATCACAGATTCCTCCATCAATGCTTATGAGTGTTGATGGAGGAATCTCCTGCTGTTTTCTTTGTATTCTGAAGAATACCCGAGCAAAGACGGCAGCTGATTGGCTGCTATAGTATCTCTATTCGGCCGAGAATTTTCCGACATGCTCCTTTGATCAGCTGATTGAGTAATGCAGGTCGTAAGGGTGCCGACAGCGGCCCCTCATAGTAGTGAAAGGGTGTAGGTGGCTGTATGCTGCAGATGGTTACCCTGTGCACTGAAATACTCCCATAACCTACGTTCGATGGCCTCATGTGTTCGTGTGCATGATTTCACACCAAGTGCGGAGCAGATGCAGAACAGAGCAGTTACAGAACGCATCAAAAATGCATCCAATGTATTCTAATGGTATTTTGGGCTCTAGTTCACACCATAGCGTTCAGTTCCAGAGCATGTTGAAAAACTGCAGCATGCCCTATCTTTTCTGCTCTGGAATGCACCAAAACGCATGCTAGCACATCAAAAATGCATGCAAATGCCCTGGAATGCACTGAGAGCGCATTTTAAGCTAATAAAAAAAAAAAGAAGAATGTCCCAGAACGCGTCACAAAGCACTGCACTGCATATGCAGAAACCCATGCAGATCTGGTGTGAACAAGCCCTAAAAGAAGCGTTTGTTTTCTTTCAGTGTGCATGAAACCTTATGAATCTGAACGCAGCAATTTTTACATCCATGTACATGAGCCCTAACCATGCAACTAACAGAGAGTGATGGAGCTTAGCTGTGTCCAGGGTTGTATGCCTAAACCCATGTGCAGGCTTGTCATCTGCAATTTATGTTTGATGTCCTCATGCATGCGGATGTCTGAGGTCTTATAGATCTGAACACAGCATTTATTCATATCCTCAATCATGCAAATGGCAAGGAGTCAGGAAGCCTAGCTGTATCTAGTGTTGTTGCCCCTGAATCCATGTGCGGGTCTACGTAAAATACACCTGCAATTTCCATTCGACAACCTCACATGCCCATGTGCATGGGGCTAAATGTCTCTCAAAGTTTTTTTTACTGCCTGTGTGCATGAGACCCTATGGATCTGAACTCATCATTTTGTTTCTTTGTGCAGATGAGCCCTATCAATGCAACTAGTAGGAGGTCAGGGAGCCTAGCCGTATCCAGGGTTCTATGCCTTAATCCATGTGCGGATTTGTCATCTGCAATTTACGTTCGATGTGTCAGTGGGCATGAGCCCTAACCAGAGCCGTAGCTAGCTCCTTTTGTGCCGAGGCAAGAACAAAAAAACGTGCCCCCCTCCAACAGGCGTGTGAC